TCGGCTCAGGTTTTGCACACCTTCACCCTTGACTCGGGTGCTTCCCGCTCCTTCTTTCGAGACCGCACCACACTCACGCCACTTAGTCGGCCGGTTGCAGTCTCCCTGGCGGACCCCTCTGGGGGTCCTGTCCTTGCCCACTTCTCCACTGTCTTATCGTGTCCGGCGGCCCCTTCTGGCACCCTGTCAGGTCTTTACCTCCCCTCGTTCTCTACGAACTTGGTGAGTGGTGCTGACCTATAGGATGGAGGGGTTGACCAGTTCACTCCTGCGAGTCAGCGAGTGACCCACTGTACGTGTGCTCGGACGGGCCGACACTTGGCCACGTTTACCGTCAGCCGAGGTCGAGCCTGTACACATTGACTACTGAGTGTCCTCCAGTTGCTGCGTCTGGTCAGGTAGCTGCGTCAGGTAAGGTGTTTGCTGCAGCGTCCAGGTCTGGTCCTGAGTCTGCCCCCTGCTCGTGTCGTCTCCTGTCTCACCAGACTCTCCTCTGGCACCACCGCCTTGGTCACCCCTCCCTGCCTCGTCTCCGAGGCATGGCCTCTCGTTTCCTTGTCTCTGGTCTCCCCCGGTCCCTCCCTCCCCTTCCTCCGGGGCCTGCCCCCACCTGCGTTCCCTGCGTCGAGGGGCGGCAGCGCGCCGCTCCTCACTCCTCCGAGTTTCCTCCGACAGAGGCTCCACTGCAGACGCTTCACCTGGACGTGTGGGGCCCCGCCCGCGTCCGTGGACAGGGTCACGAGCGTTACTTCCTGCTGGTGGTTGACGACTACTCGCGTTACACCACGGTCTTCCCCTTGCGCAGCAAGGGTGAAGTCACTGAGGTGTTGATCGACTGGATCCGCGCAGCTCGTCTCCAGCTAAGAGAGAGTTTCGGCTCGGACTTTCCTGTTCTGCGTCTGCACTCCGACAGAGGCGGTGAGTTTTCCTCTGACCTTCTGCGAGCCTTCTGTCGTGCACAGGGCATCCGCTAGACGTTCACGCTTCCGGCCTCTCCACAGCAAAATGGGATTGCTGAGCGCCGCATTGGCATGGTCATGGACGTCGCTCGTACGTCCATGATCCATGCGGCTGCTCCCCATTTTCTGTGGCCGTTCGCGGTTCAGTACGCGGCGCATCAGATCAACCTTCAGCCCCGGGTCTCCTTGTCGGAGACCTCTCCTACTCTGCGGTGGACGGGGAAGGTTGGCGATGCGTCTGCGTTTCGTGTCTGGGGATCTCGGGCTTTTGTCCGCGACTTGTCTGCGGACAAGCTGTCCCCCCGTGCTGTTCCCTGCGTCTTCCTTGGCTTCCCCCCTGATGCGCCTGGTTGGAAGTTTTACCACCCCACCTCGCGCCGTGTTCTGTACTCTCAGGACGTCACGTTTGACGAGTCGGTCCCCTTCTACCGTCTCTTCCCCTACCGCACTGCCCCGCTCCCCCCTCCGCCGCTCTTCCTCACGCCAGGTGCTGCCTTGGTAGACCCCTTGCCTCCCTAGGGTCCTGCTCCCTCAGGTGTTTCCCAGGTAGACCCGGTCGAGCCTGTCGAGGTAGCTGTCGACTCTGGTCCTGCGCGAGGTACTGAGCGTGCTGAGCCTGGTGGTGCTGGGTCTGGAGGTACTGCGACTGGGGGTACCGAGCCTGGGAGTGCGGAGACTGGGGGTGTTGAGCCTGGGGGTGCGGAGACTGCAGGTGCTGAGCCTGGGGGTGCTGTCCCTGGGGGTGCTGGGTCTGGAGGTCCTGAGCCTGGGGGTGCTGCGCCTGGGGGCGCTCTCTCTTCCCAGCAGCTGCGTGAGTGGTACTCTCGGTACTGTCGCAGCCTCCGTGGTGCTGCTGGAGCTGGAGCTGAGGGCGCTGAGCCTACTGGAGTTGGTGTTGCTGCTGACCCTGGGGTCGGCGCTGGAGGTGCTGGAGCCACTGGTCCTGGAGGTGCTCGTACTGGCGGTACTGGAGCTGCTGGGACTGGGGGTGCTGCTGGGGCTGCTGGAGCTGGTCCTGCTGGAGGTGCTGCTGGTGCTGCTGGAGGTACTGGAGCTGCTGGTGCTACTGGGGGTACTGGAGCTGCTGGGCCTGGAGGTGCTCCTGGTGCTGGAGCTGCTAGCGGTGCTGGAGCTGGCGGTCCTCCTGGAGTAGGTGCTGCTGGAGCTGCTGGAGCTGGAGCTGCTGGGGGTGTTGGCGCTGGAGGTGCTGCTGGCGCTGGTGCTTCTGAGGGTGCTGGAGTTGGCGCTGCTAGAGCTGGAGGTGCTGCTGGCACTGGTGCTGCCGCTGGGGGTACTGGTGCTGTCCCTGTTGTTTCTGGAGGCGCTGCGCGGCCGCGGCCGTACTTCGTTCCGCTCCTCCAGCAGGTTCTTGGTCTCCCACCTTCTACTGGTCCTGCTCCTCCCTTAGAGTGTCCACAGCCTGTCCAGTCGCAGTCACAGTTACAGCCCGCCTCCCCACTGCCTGCTCCTTCTCCCTACACTGGTCCTATTGGAGGTCTTGCTGAGCGTCGTGCGCCTGCGTCTCGTCCTGCGTCGCCTGTTCGTGCTGCTCGCACTAGTCGTCGTGTTCCGCGTCAGCGTCCTCCTGCGGTCCCAGGCACGCACCAGATGGCACTGCGTCCTTCCACTGCTCCGCAGCGTGTCCCTTTGCCGTCTCCTCCAGAGTCCTCTCTTCCTGCTCTTGCTGACCCGGAGTCTGACTCTCTTCGTGCTGCCAGTCCTACTGTCACGCAACTCCTGGCTACTGTTGTCACTGACCCTTCCTTTGAGTCCACTGCTACGTCTGCCTTAGTTGCTGAGCTTGTCGACTTCGCTGCTCACTGTCGTCTAGACTACGCCGCGAGTCTTGTTGCTGAGTCTGAGTCTGTCTGTCCTCCGTCCGTCGGGGGTGAGTGTGCGCTTAGCACGGACGTCCTTGAGGACAGGCAAGAGGAGTTCTAGTGTTTTGCTGCTGCTTTGCCTCATCTCGTGTCCATGCTGATTGCCCTTGAGGGAGACCCGAATGCACCAGACATCCCGACTCCGCGCTCTTACGCAGAGGCGATAGAGGGTCCCTACTCCTCTCAGTGGCAGTCAGCCATGGACGCAGAGATGGCTTCCTGGAAGTCCACAGGCACCTACGTCGACGAGGTTCCCCCACCTGGAGCGAACATCGTCAGTGGCATGTGGATTTTCAAGGTGAAGCGGCCGCCGGGTTCTCCGCCTGTCTTCAAGGCGCGTTACGTGGCTCGAGGCTTCAGTCAGCGGCAGGGAGTTGACTACTTTCAGACCTTCTCTCCCACCCCGAAGATGACCACTCTTCGGGTGCTGCTGCACATAGCCGCTCAGCGCGACTACGAGCTTCACTCTCTTGACTTCAGCACTGCTTTCCTACAGGGCAGCCTGCACGAGGAGATCTGGCTGCGCCGTCCACCTGGCTTCACTGGGTCGTTTCCTCCTGGTACCCAGTGGAGCCTCCGGCGGCCAGTCTACGGACTCCGCCAGGCGCCCCGTGAGTGGCACGACACACTGAGGACTACACTTGTGGCTCTTGGGTTTGCTCCTTCTACTGCCGACCCGTCGCTGTTTCTACGCACCGACACCTCTTTGCCGCCGTTCTACATCCTCGTGTACGTCGACGACTTGGTCTTTGCTACTGCTGACACTGCTGGACTCGCCCACGTGAAGTCCGAGCTGCAGAAGAGACACACGTGCACAGACCTGGGTGAACTGCGCAGCTACCTTGGCTTGCAGATTACCCGGGACAAAGCACAGCGCACCATTACCCTGACTCAGTCACACATGGTGCAGCAGGTCCTTCAGCGCTTCGACTTCATGTACTCCTCGCCTCAGGCCACTCCTCTGTCTACTCGCCACTCGCTCTCAGCTCTGCCTTCGGATGAGTCCGTAGAGCCGAGTGGCCCGTACCCAGAGCTTGTTGGCTGCCTCATGTACCTGATGACCTGCACTCGACCTGACCTTGCATACCCTCTTAGCATCTTGGCACGCTATGTTGCTCCTGGGAGACACCGACCAGAGCACATGGCTGCAGCGAAGAGGGTGTTGCGCTAATTGTGCAGTACGTCGGGCATGGGGCTAGTGCTTGGAGGTCGGCGTTCAGTGGTCCTCACTGGGCACGCAGACGCTTCTTGGGCTGACGACCAGGCTACGCAGCGGTCGTCACAGGGTTACACCTTCAGCCTTGGTTTCGGCTCTGTTTCGTGGCGGTCTACCCGCTCGTCTTCTGTTCTCGGCTCCAGCTGTGAGGCTGAGATCTACACAGGGGCCATGGCTGCACAGGAGCTACGCTGGCTCACCTACCTGCTGACTGATCTAGGAGAGCCGCCTCGTTCTCCTCCAGTTCTGTACGTAGACAACAAGGCCATGCTGGCCTTGTGTCGGGAGCACAGACTGGAGCACAGAACGAAGCACATTGCTCTTCGCTACTTCCTTGCTCGTGAGCTGCAGCAGCGTGGTCAGCTGCGCCTTGCCTACGTGGCCTCTCAGGCCAACACTGCTGATATCTTTACCAAGGCACTTCAGCCTTGTGATCATCAGCGCTTTTGTACGATGCTAGGTCTTGTGCCTTCTTGGCCTCACTTGCTCACTTCTTGACCTTGCTTGTACTGTGAGCTATCTATACCTGCACTTGCTTGTTTACCTTTATATATAATCTTGCATGTGAACTGGCCTTGTGGCCTTGAACTTGTGCTCGGAATGTGTGGTGACGTTGTGATCCACCCTGAGCTTGCTGTGCTTTGCTTGACTGGTCTTGTGACCTCTTGTTCTCCCCCACTTTGCCTATGGGGGTGTGTCAAACTTATATGCTATAGTCTGTGTAGGCTGTAGTGGGGTAGTTAATATGGGGTACAACACTTTTAGGTTTTCGTACTTGTACCCACCTGTTTCCTAGTGCATTCATCCCTCGTTATTTCACACGACCTGCGTCCCTGCTCAACGAGGTCGACGTCGCCTACGACGGAGGTCGTGGCCCTGCGGGCGATTGCCTCGGCAACAAAGGCGAGGCCAGACAGGCAGCATGCAAGGCTTGCGCACGTCGGCATGGACATAATATGGAGCTCGGCGAAGAACGAGGTCGCCATTGGGCTGGACCTCAAGTCGACGACGGGCGCCGACTCACCATGTGTCTCGTGCGTCGGCGGGAAGCTGGCGCGGCACACCTTCCCCGACCAAGGCTCCGACGCCGACGACGTGCTGGCCGTCGTGCACATCGACCTGTGCGGGCCGTTCCGCGTGGCTGCCAAGGACGGCAGCCTGTACTTCTTGCTGCTGAGGGACCGCAAATCCCGCTTCGTGTGGGTGAGGCCGGTCGCCAAGAAGTCGGATGTGCTGCTGGAGTTCCAGAGGTGGCTGGTGTTGGTGGAGAGGTAGACGAAGAAGTCGGTGCTGATGTTGCGCTCAGACCGAGGAGGGGAGTTCCTCGGGAAGAAGTTCACCGACTTCGTGGACAGACAGGGGATCGTCAACGACCTGACCTGCCCGTACACCCCGCAGTAGAACGGCATGGCGGAGAGGGAGCTGCGGACGGTGGTGGAGTCAGTGCGGACGATGCTGCCGCACATGGGCGTGCAGCACCACTGGTGGCACCTCGCTCTGCGGCAGGCCGTCTGGGTCCGCAACCGCCTTGAGCGGTCGCCGCTGCCACCAGGGACGACGCCGTACCAGCTGCTGACCGGGCAGAAGCCCGACTTGTCGATGGCGCGGGTGTGGGGCTGCATGTCGTAGTTCCTTGTCCCCGAACAGCAGCGTGGTGGGAAGTTGCAGCCGAAGGCCAGGTGGGGCCTTCACCTTGGCGTGTCGGGGGAGAGCAAGGGCTGGGAGCTCCTCGACATCGACGCCAACCGGGTGGCCACCACGTCGGACAAGGTGTTCTACGAGGATATATCGCTGGAGGTGTGGAAGTCGGAGAACGGGCCGGTGTCAGGTCGGACGCCGACCACCTCACCGACCGTTACCTCGACGGCGACGCTGCCTCTGCTTGCCGAGGTCGGTGAGCTTGCTGATGAGGACGCCGAGGTCGTCCGTCCTCCTTCCCCTTCCCCTACGATCCCTCCCCCTCCCCTCGTGGCCGACCTGCACGGGCTGACTCCTATGTCGGCCTCCGGCAATGAGGGGAGTAGTGGGACGTCGCCTTCGCCGCCGGCCAAGGGCCTCGCCGGTGGCCGTCGTGACGAGCGGCAAGTCGACGTGGGATTGAAGCCGACGTTGCTAGGGGAGGAGCAGGTCGAGGAGTAGCAGCCAACAGGGGAGCAGGCAGCGGTGATGCCGATTACGGAGCAGTCGGCAACCAGGTAGTCGGCAGAGGAGCCGACTACAAGGGAGAGGCCGACCAGGAAGTCGACCGAGGTGCAGCAGGGCGACGAGGGCAGCGAAGCTGGTGACGAAGGGGAGAAGTCCACCGACAGCGACGTGGTGGAGGTTTGGCCTGAACCCCGGAAGTCAGGCCGACTTCGGAGGCCACCCGACTTCTTCGTCCCCGCTGCCTTCACCACGGTGTATGACGTGGAGGACGACGACGACTTGGCGTATGACGACGCCGAGGAGGATGAGGAGTTTCCGGAGCTCGACCTCGACATGCTGGCCAACCTTGAGCACCGTTGGGACATCTCGACGATGACGGTGAAGGAGGCTTTGGCGAGCTGGAAGGGCCCGGTGGTGAAGGCCGCCATGGAGGAGGAGATCCGCAACCTCATCAACATGGGCACCTGGGAGCTGGTCGAACGCCCGCCGGGGGTCAACATCATGAAGAACCGGTGGGTGCTGATGACGAAGTACCACGTCGAGGACACCGTCGAGCGCGAGAAGGCGAGGCTGGTCGTGAAGGGCTTCACGCAGGTGTACGGTGCCGACTACGACAAGACGTTCGCGCCGGTGGGCAGTTACGTCACGCTGAGGATCTTCCTCACCATCGTCGCCGTCCTCAACCTCAACCTGATGCAGCTTGACATGAAGAACGCCTTCCTGCAGAGCAAGCTCGACCGGGTGCTCTACATGTCTCAGCCGGACTACTTCAACGACGGAACCGGCCGGGTGTGCAAGCTGCTGAAGAGCCTGTACGGCCTGAAGCAGTCGCCGCTGCTGTGGTACTTGGCGCTCAACGACGTGCTGGTCGGCGCCGGGTGGAAGAAGAGCCAGGTCGGCGAGGCTCTGTACTTCAAGGTCGGCGACGACGGAGTGGCCTGCTGGGTGTTGGTCTACGTCGACGACCTGCTCGCCGCCAGCATCAGCACTGGGATGCTGAAGGAGCTGAAGGAGCTGCTGGCGTCCGCCTTCAAGCTGCGGGAGATCTCGCCGGTGCGGAAGTACCTCGGGCTGGAGATCGTCCGCGACAGGTCGGCGAGGAAGCTGTGGCTGCACCAGCAGGGCTACGCCGACAAGTTGCGTAGGCGCTCCATCGACGAGGAGCAGACTAGGCGCACCCCGAAGACGCCGGTTCCGGTCGACGCCTACGCCGAGCTCACCTTCGACGACGAGGAGGCACAGGAGCGACAGGAGGAGGAGTACTGGCAGAAGGTCGGCTCGCTGCAGTTCGCGGCGACGACGATGAGGCCGGACATCACCTTCGCCTGCAGCAAGCTGGGGAGCGGCCTCATGGTGAGGAGCGACCAGCACTGGCGCGAGATCGACCGCTGCCTCGCCTACCTCGCCAACACGCGTGACACCGCCCTGGTGTTCGGCGGTGGACAGGAGTCGCTGGAGTTGGTCGGCTACGTGGATGCTGACGACACCGGTGACAAGCAGAGCAGAACGAGCACGGGCGGCTACGTGTTTGTCTACGGAGGGGCCGCAGTCTCCTGGTCGAGCCAGCGCATCAAGTGCGTGACGTTGTCGTCGACCGAGTCGGAGTACGTTGCGGCCACCGAAGCCGGCAAGGAGGGACGCCGACTTCACTTCCTCCTCGCAGAGTTCTGGCAGCTGGATGCCGGGAAACCGACCGTCCTTCGGGTGGACAACAGGTCGGCCATCACAGTCGCCGAGGGCATGGGGTTGACGTACAACCTCAAGCACATGGAGCGGCAACAGGCCTGGCTGCAGCACATGGTGAGGCGCGGGAAGTTCTCGCTGAGGTACATCCCGACCACTGAGCAGCCGGCCGACTTTCTGACGAAGGCGCTGCACTATCCAGCCTTCAACCGGTACTCCATCGCCATCGGCCTGGTGCGCTTGGCTGACGTGGGCGACGAAGGTGACGAAATGCAGCAGTAGGTGCCATGCCCTCTTGCATGGCTGGTGCGGTGGACGACGTGCTGTGTGTTGGGTGCACATCGACGAGCTATTCTCCGAGGAGTACTGCCGTGTGGGCTGGGGGCCCAAGCGTGAACGCGGTAGGGGAGTGTCAACGGGAGTTGTGTGTTGGCCCTGTCCTCGCTTCGGCAGAGCCGACTTCGTGGTCGGGTGTGAGGGGAGCAGCCGACCGGCAGCAGTGGGCGAGCTGGTTGACGAGGAGGTCGACCTGCACGGGGACCACTGCACGGGCGCCGACTTCAGGGTGGCGCCGACTTCAGGGGGGTCGACCTAGGATGTCGACCTGCGGAGGGGGTCAACTTGGTGACGCCAACTTGGGGGCAGCCGACTTGGGTGGTCGGCTGACAGGACTGCTGGTCGACCTGGTGGATGGTCGACCAGGCCTGCTGGTCGACTTGGTGGTTGGTCGACCAGGAGTGATGTCGACCTGGAGATCGACCTTGTCCCAATCTAACTAGCGTGAAGAATCAACCAAGGGAATGAAGTTACAAACAAGATATAGGAAACCCTAGCAAATGTCCTAGCACAAGTGTAACACATTGGACAACACCTAGACTAATATATAGAAACTATATAAATATAGTTTGACACACCTCCATAGTCTAGGTGACGGCAGTCCTGTGGAAAGCAACACATATCTCAGGGTGGGCCTCAAGGACACACACAGTCTGAGAGCAAGCAAGGGTCACATGACCAATCAGCAAGAACGAGAAAGGGTCACAAGACCAGTCCGCAAGAACAAGACAAATCTCAGGGTGGAGCTCAAAGTCACCACACACTCCGAGGACAAGCAAGGGGCCACAGGGCCAGTCCACATGCAGATATATAGCAAATATAATGAGATGCAAGAGTACAAGACAAGCAGGACAAAGCATCTCTACGTAAGCAAGTGAGGACGGGTAGGCACAAGGCCAAGCTGGGTGCAGAAACGCTGGTGGTCACAAGGCGGCAGCGCCTTGGTGAAGATATCTGCAGTGTTGGCCTCAGAGACCACACGTCGTACGAGTGCCTGGCCACGCTGCTGCAACTCACGCAGAAGGAAGTAACGAAGCTGGATGTGCTTCGCCTTCCCAACCAGTCGGGGCTCCTCACACAACAGGACAGCAGACCTGTTGTCGGCGAACAAGACGGGGGGAGAGCGAGGCCGCTCACCAAGGTCGGTGAGAAGGAAAGACAGCCAGCGAAGCTCCTGAGCGGCCATGGCCGCAGCGTACACCTCTGCCTCATAGCTGGAACCGGCCACGGACGACGCCCGAGTCGACCGCCACGAAACAGCGCCTGTCCCGAGGCTAAAGGAGTACCCCTGTGTAGACCAACGCGTCTCCGCGTCGTCGGCCCATGACGAGTCCGAGTAACCTGTGAGTGTAACTGGCTGCTTCCCTCCAAGGACAAGTCCCATGCCTGATGTACTCGCCACATACTCCGCCACCCTCTTAGCAGCGGACCAGTGGGAAGGTCGGTGTCTCCCTGGCGCAACAAAGCGCGCAAGAACGCTAAGAGGGTAGGCTAAGTCTGGGCGAGTACAGGTCATCAGGTACATGAGACAACCCACTGGATATGGACCATTGGACTCAAATGACTCGTCCGAAGGTGGATCCGTGAGCCCATGATCCACACCAAGAGGGGTGAGCTGTACCTTGGAGAACGGGAAGCGGAACCGCGTGAGGATCTGCTCGACCATATGCGACTGCGTCAGCGTAATGGTGCGAGCTGCCCTGTCCCTAGTGATCTGCAGGCCAAGGTAGTGGTGCAGCTCACCAAGGTCAGTGCAAGTGTGTCTCCTCTGCAGTTCCTCCTTCACGGAGGCCAGTGCGTGTCGGTCGGGAGTGGCAAAGACCAGGTCGTCAACGTAAACAAGAACAAAGAACGGGGTCGAGCCACGGCGGACGAACAGTGACGGGTCGGCAGACGACGGAAAGAAGTCAAGTGCTGCAAGGGTCGAGCGAAGTGTGTCGTGCCACTCACGTCGAGCCTGGCGCAGGCCGTAGACTGGTCGACGCAGCTACCACTGGGTCCCAGGTGGGAAAGAGCCAGTGAAGCCAGGCGGCCGACGCAGCCAGATCTGCTCGTGCAGGCTCCCCTGAAGGAACGCGGTGGAAAAGTCCAAGGAGTGCAACTCGTAGTCGCGCTGGGCTGCAATATGCAGCAACACCCGAAGAGTACTCATCTTCGGGGTGGGAGCGAAGGTCTGGAAGAAGTCCACCCCCTCTCGCTGACTAAAGCCTCTCGCCACATAGCGCGCCTTGAACACTGGTGGTGATCCAGGCGGCCGCTTCACCTTGTAGAGCCATCGGCCACTGACGACGTTTGTCCCAGGAGGTGGGACTGCGTCGACGTAAGTGCCTGTGGACCTATAAGATGCCATCTCTGCCTCCTCAGCTGCTATCCAGTACGAGGCCCAAGGTCCCGATATCGCCTCAGCGTGAGTGAGAGGGATCGGGATGTCAAGGGCGTCTGGATCCCCCTCAGGGGCAAGCAGCATGGCGCAGAGATGAGGAACAGCGGCCGCAAGGAAACCAAGCTCGAACTGCCTGTCCTCTAGGACCTCCAAGGGAAAGACAGGAGCACCTCCAGAGGACGGAGAACGAGCAGGGCCACTCACCAAGTGAGCGGCGTAGTCAAGGCGGTGGGAAGAGGCAAAGCCAGCAACAGTGGTAACAAGTGCTGAGACAGACGACAGGGGTGCAGTCGGGTGAGTGACCAACGCGGACAAAACACGGGAGACGACAGGACGGGAGGCACGGAGGTAGTCGGACAACGGGTCGTGAAGCACAGTGAGTGATGACTCAGGAGGTTGTGGAAGGACAGGAGGAGATGGAACACGAGAGCGAAGAACAAGGTGGAACGGACCGTCTGCACGGTAACGCGACCGACGACGCTCTGGGGACACAGCACGACTGAGGGGAGAACGACGAGGCCACTGGGAGGAGGAAAGGGACTCAACAGGGGGAACAGGAGGGGACGGTAGGGGACCACGAACAAAGCGTGCAGGTGCTGGGTCGGGGAGGTCGTGTAGTCGCAGTCGCTGCTGCTCCGCCTCCTTTGGCGTCTGCTGCGACGGCACCGGCCCCTGCTGCTGCTCCTGTGGCTCCGGCTCTGCCCTCTCCTGCTGCAACTGCAGCTGCACCCGCTGCTGCGAGCGGGACTCCTGCGCTACCCTCTCCTGCTGCGGTCGTGACTCCTCCTGTACTCTCTCCTGCTGTGTCTGTAACTGCACCTGCTGCTGCGGGCGGGACTCCTGCTCTACCCTCTTCTGGTGCGGCCGTGACTCCTCCTGTACTCTCTCCTGCTGGGGCTGCAGCTGCACCTGCCGCTGCGACCGGGACTCCTGCTCTACCCTCTCGTGCTGCAGCTGTGACTCCTCCTCTACTCTCTCCTGCTGCTGTAGCTGCTGCTGCTGCTGCTGCTGCTGCTCCTGCTGCAGCTGCTGGTGCTGCTGCTGCTGCTCGTGCTGCTGCTGCTGCTGCTGTGCTCTCTCAAAACGCTCACGCTCCTCCCTCTCCAACCGGAGGAGACGCTGCTCACGGGTCAGGAAACGTACAGTGCGAGGTGTAGGCGCCACAGTGCCAGTGCCTCCAGCTCCAGCACTCCCAGAACCAGCACCTCCACTAGTGACACCCCCGGGGCCTCCAGTACCTCCCGTAGGAGCACCCCCAAGCTCCGCAGCAACCGGCCGCAGAGGAGAACGAGGAGGGAACTGCGGGA